CTGTGAGGTCTTTTACTCTTTTACCGTGTTTTGTTTTTATTGTTTACTTATGGAATTAGGATCTACAGGAAAGAGTTCTATTTGGTCATTTTTTTATATTTGTTTTTTTTGTTTTTATCCTATTTTTATCTTACTTGCATTATTTTTTTCTTTTTACTTCTCTATAAGAAAATGTTATCAGATTGGTGATATTTTATTGTAGAGCAGTAATTTTGGTATGATTAGTAAATATCATCTGTTGATATCTGGGGCTCATATTTTTAAAAAGTTAAAGATCCTAAAAGAAGAAAAATTTTTACTTAAATAGGTTACTCCCGAGTTATACTCTAATATAAAAAATAGAACTTACTCTATTTTTACTACAATAATAAGATAGATCAAGAGAATTTTTATTTAAACAAAAATATAATAGTAAATAAATTTCTATATAAATTTAACCAACTAAGAATATATTTGTAATCTACTTCTAATTATAAAATAAAGATAGGATTGTTAAAGTAAAAAAAATATTGCTTAGTTTTTCTTTATTAGTACTATTTAATAGTACTAACATTTTTTTTTTAATTTTTTGGCTATCTGGTAGTCTGCATAATTACTAATTATAATCTTATCTCAAACTTCATATGTCAAGTTAATTTTTGAAATTTTTGAGACAACAGCATTTATTATATTTGAAAAAAAGTATATACTTTCTATTTTAATTCAAAGTAAGTAACTTGAAATAAAGTAAAATAATCATAAAATAAGTAAATATAAATATAATATTATAAATAAATTTATTAATTATGTGCACTATAGTTACTAGATAGTATTTTATAACAGAATATTAATACTTATTATTTTTATTTTATAAGTTGTTAAATAAACTATAGTTTAAAGAACTTGACAAATATTTTTTAATCTCTTTATATTTATGTTAGCAATTATTTCTATTATCTAAACAAAATATAATCTATAACTAATATAATTTATCTTTTTTGAGTCTAATTTAAATTATATATATAAATATTTATAATCTTTAGATATAAGTTCTATAATACCATCAATATAATTAGTTAACTTTTGTTTCAAACAATCACCTGTTTAATAAAATTAGCTGCTTTTTTAACTCTACAAAGTATGATTAATCTTTATTTTATTAGTTGTAGTATTTGAAAATAGCTTTAAAACTTTAAGCAAGTATTTTTAAAAGAGAATAGTATAATAAGTATAACTCAGCTATATATTTAAAAAGAATGAAAATTATATTATTATTGTTAACAATTATTTGATCTTTTAGACTTACTATTACAATTATTTGGTTAATGTATAATAACATAAATAGATTATATTTTATTAAAGTAAGTGTATATTATTATAGACAATAATTTTTGCTTATTGGTTTAATATTATTTGAAAAAATTACTTTTTTATATTTATATACAATTAATTGATCTCAAATATATTATATTATACTATGAAAAATAACTAGTATTATACATTTTCTTGTATAATTTTTAAATGTTATATCTATTAATAAATAGTCTTTTAAAAATAAATTTATACTATATATTATACTAGCTATTATATTATTTGCTATGCAAATATCATGTATAGTATTATAACAAAAAGAGACTTTACTATTGTACTACTAATTTAACTCTAGTTGTAAGTATTAAAATGAAAAACCAATAATTTATTACTATATTATATACAAGATAATAAAAGTAATAAAAATGTAACAAATACAAGTATCTTTTTAAAAATATACCCAGTATACAAAAAATTTTCTAAAATACTATTCTATTAGACTTAAATTAACTAAGATACTATTTATGAAAATGTAGTTATAGCTTAATTACATTAAAATATTGTAACAATATAAAAATCTAAATAAAATAAAACCTATGATTATAATAAACTATAATATTGATATAAAGTATATTGTTATATTATTTTTGTAACAATATTACTAATACATCAATAGTTGAACGGTACCATCCCTCCACACTTCATGTGATCGTACTGGTATATGTATACATAGCGGTAGTAAGTTTACTCTTAATTGGGTATTATTTGCACATGTTTTAAATAAAATATTTATATAAAACTTTTGCATAACATTTTTTATGCATATACAAAACAATTGTGTCCCGGGTGCTTGTTAGCCTTAATATGTTATGAGAACCGGACATTAAATATATAAATATGGGAAATTCTATTTTGACCCGGGTCAAAATGACCCTCCTAGAAGTTAGGTTAGTGAGAATTATGTTAATGTCGACCAGGTTTTTATATTAAAAACCCTGGCCGGCATAAATATAATTCTGGCCTGCACTAACTCTAAAATTTGCCGAGGGTCATTTTGACCCGAGTCAAAATAGAATTTCCCTATAAATATTAGATAAATATTAAATATTTTTTATTAATAAAGTATAAACAAAATAACATTTTTCATACATTTACTATCTGCTAATTTATACAAATAGTATGCGTTTACTTATACAAATGATCTATATTTTATAGGGCTGCACATCCTAGAAAAACTCCCCTGCACATTCCAGAAAAACCTTGTTATAGATCGTGTATCACTTTGTTTTTTTTTTAAAAAAAAAAACAATAAAAAACTTAACTAAAACTACATCAGGTTTGTACAATATGTATAAAATATTTAAATAACTCTAGATGCAAACAACTTTGTGATATTTAACAATCAGATATAAAGTTCAATGTTCTTATCTACCAAAAAATTTACACATCAGCCCAGCTTTAGCCCAACACCATACACATAATCCAACTTTAAACACCAATAAATAGCCCGACTGATTCGACAAATAAATACACAGAATTTGGTAAATATGGGCAATATAAATAATAATATATACAAATAAAATTAATTAACTGCCCGTTAAATATTACCCAAATTCCAGTGATAAAACGGAATCTTGATTTTTCTAATTCTAAATTGTTCACAGGTTAATGGCGATTATATATTATTACGCCTAAATATTTACTAAGATTCTCCAAAAATGATTTCTTCGGGCTTATTGTATCTTGCTATCCTAGTTTTTCTTTTATTCTTTCCCATACTATTCTTTTCAGCTTTTCTTTTTCGCGTTAATTAAAATTAAATTTTCAATATATTGTTGAAATAATCTTGCCGATCTCATGTGGTTTTTAGCGCTATGGTATATGATTGTTCCAGATTAAGAATAAGGTTGGTACTGGTGGTGTCACACTTGATAGTTCCAGGGTATTGCATGTGGCGACGAGAATGTTATTCAAATTCTCAAAGGTGAATGCCATTGTACATATAGAGACTGGTGTTCAAAAATTTCGCGCAGGATTCTTAGTCTCAACTCCTGATCTGAATTTGGGATATTCTGTGATACCGCCAATAAGGTTGTTGAATGGAACGGTATAATCCGGGTTAACTCCGAGACATATAACATTTAAATTTTACTCCAATCTAAAAAAACCACCGATAATGAGGCGATCAACATCATTGGCAGTGTTGAGGAAAAATCACGATAACCTTGGCGCTGAATGG